TATGTAAGTACAGTGATTTTGTAACATTCTAATGTTGTAACGTTGAAGAACATGGTATGTTGTTTAAATATTTGACTTATTTAGTGCGTTTCGTTATTTGCTCTCTAAAATATGGCGTAATTAATGATGAATTATATGATAGAATTCGATGCTCAGAACTCAGGAAATGGCATTTCCGGGGTTCAAATTTCAAATTTCCCCCGGACCCCCCTAATTATTGACGGTTTTGGAGTGCGCCACGGTCAGGATTTAGGCTGGATCCGCGCCTGCTGTACATCACCGTGCACAAATCCTTTCTCTCAACTTCATTAAATACTATTCTTCGTGGTTACGCGTTTCATCTCAGCTATCTTTATTGGAGGGTTACTTTATTATACGAAAATACAATGAGCTCAATCACCGTGACCGCGCACAAATTAACATAAACTCAGATAAAAACATAATACAATGACTTCTGTTCAGTTTCCAGACCATCATATCTTGATAGACTAGCTATGGTTTGTATGTGTATGTGTCTGTGTCTGTCTGTCTCATCCTCGTTCTTATCCTCATCATGGACGAATTAAACGTCTGCACGAATTAAACGTCTTGTGTTAAGTGCGACTAATATAAATACGGGATGAACAGAAATAAGACGGCGAACCACTGAGCTATAATATTATTTATTATAATATTGCCTTTAGCTAAATTTCTCGGGGTTTTCATATTGATTTGTTGTCTTTCGCGGGTGAGAATAACGTGCATGACTTTTCAATCTTTGTAGAAATGGTCAAAAGTCGAAAAAAATATAGAAAACAGCGAGAATTTACTGCAAAAACGTCAAAAAGCAAAAAAAAATTTTTGCTAAAACCAGGGTGTGTGAAAATTGAAGCGGGCTCAGAATTGAGGAACCAATTGTCATGGAAATGGCGTCATATGGCGCAAAAATCCGCCATGTTTTTGCCGTCACTTTTTATGCCGAGCACTTCCTCCGGTAATAGCACAGCTCAGAACAGAGTGGACTTTCGTCGACGCTGCATAAAAATAATGCGGGCTCGTGAGCTTTTTCCCGCAAATTTTGCTTTTCGATGTTTGGCTTACAATTTCTAAGGATGTTGAAGTTTACAGCATTGTGATTCACTGGTTTTTGAAAGCATCTGGGTTTTTTGTTGTTGGAAGTTCTAGGCTAACTCTTCAACAACCTAATGACTGTTTTCAAAGCAAAGCAATTGAAAGGAAAACTTATATTTTCATACGAAGAAGATGAGTGGCGATATTTATGTTGGACTGTTTTGAGCAAATGCTTCGAAGAACATGATATGATCGGACCTTGTATCTTAAAAGTGTACTTGGAACAGCCGAACAAAGTGGTAAATTTTGTTATCCGGTGTGTTGGGCATCATAATTCACAGGAATAGTACACAGCGGCGTTTAAACTGGCTATGAAATATCCTGAATACTTAAGTCGTCAAGTTCTCTGCCGCCATGTGACCTGTAGTTTAATGTGGCACACGTCTTTGAAAGGGCTTTACTTGACTTTAATCGACGTGTAAGGTATAACTTAGGTAAGCCAACATTTCTTTGTAATGCAAGCTACATTTTCATATCTTCAATGTGTGAATATTTTTAATTTTGTAAAAATTAAGCGCAATATGTTGTTGGAGAAAGTATCGAGTGCTTCATAATAACGCTCAGATCTTGTATACAGATATTCGTATTTTATTCAAAATCTACCCTTTATCACTAGTTTTTTATTCTTTTATGTTAAAGTATACATAATCGTTGACTTGATAACACGATGATCTACTCGATGAAAATTGGGCGAAGGGGCGATCTTCGCAGAGAAACGTGACCGTTCGGTGAAAATAGTAGTTCAGAGACCCTATTTTCATTGTAGTATTTCGTGACAATTTGTTGGCCGATTTCTAGTTTAAATTGTAGAACGGGTTCCTATAGTGAATTAAATTAATTGTCTATCTTCTAACGAGTAGTAATAAGCTCGACTCCTTTTTGTTGATGGATGTTGAATTCATTTTTAGACTTTTGTTCATATACAAGAAGTACACTACCGAGTACTGAATCACTGTTTGCAAAGAAATTAGCCTATATCACCACCATAATTCAAGCTTATTTTTAAAGTCAAATAGTTTCTCCATGGATAAAAGTAGTTTTTATGGAGTTAAAAATAGGGCAAGTACGAATTTAAAGAAGGTCAAGTTGCACTTGTATATCTCACTTCGAAAAAGATATTCTAGTATTAGAAGCTACTATCGCAAGGAAAGTGCTGCCTCATCCCCAAGGGATCAAAGGCAGCATACGCAATTTGCTGAATAAGGGGCTGTTTAGTTTATGTGATCCCGCCTTGCCAGGACAAGATGTGAGGCATCCGATTTCGATGTATTGAAATATGTCACAGTGCACGATTCAGCAAAAAACTTCATTATTTTCTAGAGATAGACTATAGTTAATTATAAAATAGCCTTTTAAAAACACGGGCGCTGATTGGTCAAAAGCTAAAAAAACCCGTGTTTTTATAACTCGATAGAAACACGGGGAATTTTCACGCGGGTTGCGTGGATTGCGCGGGAGTTTAAAAGACAAAATACAAACAATATTTAATTTTAAAAAAGTTGAAAAACGTTCCGAAACGCCGAAGAATCGTTACAAAAAAAAAGGCAACACTTTACTAACTTAGAAAGCGAAGACCAAAAGCACAAAGTATAATTATAGCACACGTTGTATCTGTTTGACTGTTTACCAAGGTAATATATTTTAATTTTACTTTGTCTTTTTAAAAAAATATTTCCTCGCGACGTTTTTAATCATGTTTACTATAGTTTTTAATCATGTTTAAACGTTTACTAACTATTTAAAACAGTGCTTTCTTTGCATGCAAGCATGTATGTTGTTGAGTGAATTATATACTTTGTATTAGTAAGCCTGTTAAGTGCTGTCTGTTGTTTTGACAGCGATATACTTGTTTACTTCTTGTTTACTTGAATGAAAGCAATTAAAATCAATAAATTTATCTTTTCTACTGTTTTTAAAAGGCTATTTAATAAAGGAAATAGAAAACATTTTTTCCGTGTTTCTATAGAGTTTATAGAAACACTTGTGAAAGTTTGGGAGAAACTCGAAATTGCGTGGAAACACGAGCTCGTGTTCCCACGCAATTTCTCGTTTCTCCCAAACTTTCACGCTTGTTTCTATAACTCTATAGAAACACGGAAAATGTTTTCTATTTCTTAACTGTAAACGAATGGTTCAATCAGCAATGATAATCTTCTTGAGCTATACAAGATGTTTTCTACAGTTCTGTTAACCAGCATTTGAACAGCCCCTAAGACGCCTGTTCAGCAGGTAGAAAAAGTGCTATTTGGATATCAAACACCTTGCACAAAGTCAAAGGTCAGCTAAATATTCTAATTCTACTTTCTAGCAACAATGTTTCATTTAATGTTTTCTGTGTACCATTGTCCGTTATTTTTAACCAAATGTTAAGAAATATTTACACAAAAGTAATCAATATTTACGAAATATTGAAACACATTTTTCAATTTGCTCTGTTTGAATCAGTTGTTCTCGAAAAAACGCATACACGCGCATAATCTTCATGTAGATCCGCTGCAAAATCATCTAGAGATGAGCCTGCATTATTATTTTATATTAGGGAGGGGAGGGACAACAGTATATTAGCAAAAACATGAAAAATATGAAGGATGCTGCCTTTCGTTACCATGGCAACCAAGCTCAAAATTATAGTGAGGTTGTTTAAAACAGCTCCTGAGAGAACAATTTTCTTAATTCAACCAAATAAATACTTTCACAACATCAATTACATGCCACACTAACTATTTAGCTCAAAAAATGAAAATCGATTTTTTCGAGTGGTTTAGGTAGACCCCCACCTTAACTGTGGTAAATTCGATGCCAATATCTGGCTAACCCACCACCTGTGGTGTACAGAGAAACATGATATCATTTTCATCAATACGTCTGAACGGTCTGGTATCAAAACGAATACAGACAATACATAGCGCGCAAATTACAACAAACATACAATAATTTATCGTATTGCCTGGTTCTTTAAGAACCTTATTGAAAACGAATACATAGCGCGCAAATTATACAACAAACATATAATAATTTGTAATATTGTATCGTTCTTAAAAACCTAATTCAAAACGAATACATAGCGCGCAAATTACAACAAACATTATACAATAATTTATGGTTTGTTGTGTAAAAGTTGACGTCCGCTCAAAATGAATACATAGCGCGCATTTAGCCATTATACTATATACACTATATGCAATGCATGCACTCATGCGAATACTGCATACATATAGACTATATAGAGTATACACTATATATTTAACGTATAATAACAATGGGCATATCTCAAAGCACATATTTGCTATATAAAACATCTAGAACTATGAACACTATAAACTCATCGCCTTGGCACATCGGCACACAAACAAAATAAACTGAAAGTATTCATTTTGACTCCTTGTATAAATATAAAGACGATCAATGGGTTAAAACTGCTGATAAATTCATGAAATTATATTGTTTCAATACCTCTATATCGAACACTAAACAGTAGATCTAAATATACATGCTTTCAAGTATACCGCTGGGAAAACACGCTGCTTAGTGCTTGGAGACAACCAAATTACATCGCTCTTGCAGTGTTTTCGAGTTCCGACACAGTTATTAGATCCGACTCGGATTGTTTTCGTAAAATCCCTGTGTATGCCATTTTGTAACTGCTACATCATTTTACGTCACAAATTCGCCAACATCTCGACACAAAATTTCGATACTGAATGCAATATATACATCCGACCGGGAAACTGGGTCGACATTAGTGTGCCGCCTCGCTTCGCTCGGCAGCAAAAACAGGTATATTTGTACGGCGAAATTAAACTGCTGCAACAAAGTTTTTATTTCTACTTTCACGTTCTTATTCCAAAGCAAACACTTCGAAGTTGGAAATCAAAATGCCTAAAATTGTGAGCGTAGAAACACTAAAGAAACAAGACTTCACTCCACGCTTACGTTTCTCGCGCATGCGTCGACGAAAGTCCACTCTGTTATAGCTCAGTGGAACAGGTGGGTAATTTGTCGACGCTGACCGAAATAGCGGGCTCATTTCTTCTTGAGTTGCCTTTTTTCGCGAGGGCACAAATGTGAACAACGAACCTAACATCGAAGAACTTGAACTAACGCTATCTGAGATAGAAGTCTTCTCCGCATTAAGAGCTTTAGACCCAGATAAAGCACTTGGACCAGATGGTATTCCCGGTGTCCCAGCAGATTTGGACCCCTCTCAAAATAGACCCCCCCCCCCGGTCCAAATCCGCTAGCGAATATGGACCGGGGAGTCCATGTTCGTACCTGACTGGTACTCTAAAGCACAGAGTAAGTATATACAGAGGTAAAACTTCTATCTATTTTACGATCACACGAGTTTTGTCTGCTTGCGTCATTTTCTCGCATCATGCAGAGTGTTCTGGCAAGTGTCATTGCTTAAATTTTCAGGTAAGAGTATAGGGAAAACGCCGTTGGAATGGTTAAAAATGAATTTTTTTAAAGAATTGGCGCTCTTATTCTCGTTTTCAGACACAAATTGTCGATAGTAATAGTATAAAGTGGTCGTTTGTGTTTATTTGACAAGTATAGTTGAGTCTTTTGACAGCTTTTAATAATATTTCATTCTGGCAAGTTCTGCACAAGTGTTATTCAGATAAAAGTATAGGGAGAAGGCTGTTCGATAGCCGAAAATGTTTCAGAGCATTTAGTGCTTTTTGTCCTCATTTTCCGACACAGACTATCAGTAGTAACAGTAAATGGTCTATTTTGTGTATTTAAAAAGTACAGTTGAACTTTTTGACAGCTTTTATTTGTTCTTGAAAGTGAGTTGACTTGTGTCCACCATATTTTGATAATTCAAAACTGTTTATTTTTAAAATTGTCCTTCGAAAGCTATATTTTTTCCTAGTTAAATTGTTTTACACATGAGTTGTCTCTGTGGAAAGAAAATATTCCAATACGTTCTTACTAAAAGTTGATTTTGTCGCCAAAAACAGGCAAGTCATTTCGCTTTGAAAAAACACTTACCGAATCCGAAAACAAATATAGATGTCATTTTCATGAAAAAAAAGGGCGCGTGAATTGAACAAATTATTAGCACTGATGAAGATCCGGGCTTACGGATCGAAAGCTTTGCAGTAATAAATTTACGTGGTGCTTCCACAAACAAAACTATTAGATGTTCTCCTGTTGAGTAAATGATTAATAAATCTCCAGCTATCTTTACTATTTTTGCATTGTTCCAGATTTGTTTTATAATAGTGTGCTTTTGCATCCCTAATAAGTTTGGTAACTTGGTTTTTGCATCTTTTATAAGCCT